ACAGATGGTGAGGGCTCTCCTAGCTGAAGGATATTGATAGGGGTTTGGTACTTTTGGGATGCTATCATCTTGAAGGTTCTCACAAGGTGTGATGCTGAAGAAGTACAGTTGCGCTACTCTCAAGTTTTGGGTTCATGATCCGACGTTATCATTGGATGTTCAGCTGACCATACGAGGTATGTCCAGGATGAAGGTTGTCTGAGGGAAGTCTGTCCAGCTTTCGTCAGATGAGCTCAGTCTGAATTCAAGTGTGGTTGTCATGACTGCTGGTGATGGAAGATGTGGTCTTCGGTAGCTACAGCGAGTCTATCAGAAGCTGTCGATTGCGAGATTGTCAGTCACACGAGGTTAGTTGAGAATGAAGATTGTCTTAGGGAAGTCTGTCCAACTTTCTTTAGATGACCTCAGTCTGAACTCAAGTGTGGTTGACATTGTTGCTGTTGGTGATGGAAGATGAGGTCTTTGGTAGCTACTTCGAGTCCATTGGAAGCTGTCGACTGTGAGATTGGCAATCACACGAGATCAGCTCAGAATGACGGTTGTCTGAAGGAAGTCTGTCCAGCTTTCGTTAGATGAGCTCAGTCTGAACTCAAGTGTGGTTGTCATGACTGCTGGTGATGGAAGATGAGGTCTTTGGTAGCTACTTCGAGTCCATTGGAAGCTGTCGACTGCGAGATTGTCAATCACACGAGATTAGTTGAGAATGACGGTTGTCTGAGGAAAGCCTGTCCAGCTTTCGTTAGATGAGCTCAGTCTGAACTCAAGTATGGTTGTCATGACTGCTGGTGATGGAAGCCTGAGCCCAAATGTGACACCAATAACTGTCGACGTGACTGGAGTTAGAGAGTTAGATATCGTCCGCATATATCAACCCGGCCACCTGGAGGGATTACGTACAGATGCAGTTGTGCGGTATCCACCATGGCTTGGCCCATTGTAGTGTACCAGTACCTTGCTCCTCCACCGGGATAGTAACCAGTGCTACCATAGACCTCATAGACCTCTTAGAACCCATCAACGGGCTCTATAGAGGTCAGGAAATCATGGTAGCACTGGTGAAGCTGGTGGAGGTGAGAGCGAAGTACGGCCAGTTCGAGCTATGTCGGTACGGACACACACCCGTACATAAGCACATAGATGGTCTCGGGAACTTGCTCTACTACAAGCAAAGCATGCCTCAATGGTGGCTTTTGATATTCCTGGAGTGGATTCAACACTTGAAGCAACTGTCCTTGCTATCGAATCACCAATATCGATGTCCAAGAAATACTTGCTAACATGAGAATCCTCAGAGATCAATATCCCCTCCACCGTTATCAGAGAAGAGGACTTCGAGTTATACAGCGAACCCCAACTGTAAAAATCAGCTCTACTGAGCAATGACCAATAAAACGTGGTATATACGCATATAAGTCCGCTATGTGACGCTTAAAATGATGAATTTGTCCGCCGATCTTTGACGCAGCGTCCATCCCCTCCGTTGAGGACAAACAAGCCACTTTTGAACCTGGTAGTTAGGAGAATTGGGGGAGGTGACACTGTTTTACGAGCTAGAGCCACCAGATGTTTCGTAGCTGTTGCTCTCTCTATTAGAAGTCGTATTGAAATCTTCTTTGACACGTAATTGGTTAACTAAAATGCTCTCTACGAAAGTTACCCCGGGTTTTGCATTGCATCATGTACAACTCTGGATGGCATGACAGTACGCAGTGCTATTGCTGGAGGGAGAAGCACAGCAAAACATACTCAATTATTCTGACTAAGAAAGCATCAATTGAGTTGGGAAAACGGAGCCATTCTCTTCTGAGTGATATTTCAAACGTGACACCTCGTGGAAAGCGGAGATTGTTCATCGTCACACACCAACTTCCCCCAACAATTCTGCTTCGTGGATGTGTGCTTTTTTGCCCAGAGAAGCAATCATTATTCATTATGCATCTCGACTTTCCCTTACCAACAATCAACTAAGATCTATTAGATAGTGCTTAGTAGTTGCATATGTCCGCTTAAACCCTGTTTGGAATTACCCCAAATTGTTGCATAAGTGGATGGATATGGAAAGAGGAGGGACCTCTACGCAGTGGCATTAATACTCCTCAATGAGCGTGTTTAGTTGATGATGAATTAACCGAGGTGTTGATATCAAAAGGACTTGGAACGGTGACTGCTCCGCTGAAGAAGAAAAAGAGGAGGTACAACAATAGGTGAGGGACGTAGTGGAGAGTGACTGTGTTTTCATCAAGGCATCTGAGCTAATCAGCGTTATAAAAGGAAGATGAATGGAGGCATAGACGTGGAGTTCTGCCATGGTAACAAGCAACCGTGCAGCACAGCATGACAGACTCAATTATATCACTCGACAAGCCAGAAGAACAGTTCATCGAGAAGGTGGACACTCTGAACTCCCCAACTGTCGTTGAGGACAACGCATCGTCATCATCTGAGGAAAGTGAAGATTTCTCAGACGTCGATGAGGCAAAGGTACTGCGCAAGATTGACCTTCGGCTATTACCCTTGGTTTCACTGCTGTACTTGTTATCCAACCTGGATAGAAGTAACATCGGCAATGCCAAAATTGAAGGTTTGGAGGCAAGCCTTGGCCTCTCAACTTCTCAATTCAACTGGTGTTTGACAATTTTCTTCTTAACGTATTCAGCCTTTGAGATTCCTTCGAACTACATCCTCAAACTCATCGGAAGACAATCAATCTTCATCCCAACTATAATGGTTCTCTGGGGTGTAGTTATGACATGTATGGGGTTTGTTCAAGGATTTGCCAGCTTATTCAGCTTGAGATTACTGCTGGGGATCTTTGAGGCTGGACTCTATCCTGGTGTTACCTATGGATTAACGATGTACTACGCCAAAAGAGAGATGCAATCTCGTCAGGCCATTTTCTACTGCGCATCTTCAGTGGCTGGTGCCTTTTCTGGGATCCTCGCCTTTGCCATTGCAAAGATGGACGGTGTTGGAGGATATGAAGGGTGGAGATGGATCTTTATCCTCGAAGGCATAGTGACAGTTCTTGTTGCGATCAGTGCATTTTGGCTGCTACCTGACTACCCAGACACTGCCAAGTTCCTCACACCGAGAGAGCGTGAGTTCGTCGTCTGGAGACTGAAGACGGATGGTAACTACAAGGATATGGATGCAAAGATCCATGCCTTTAGCGAATCATCCAGGGCCAAGCCTGACTTCACCAAATTCACGGAACAAGATGACATCTCAATGAAACAGTCGCTCATCGCAGTGATCAGAGACCCTGCGATCTATTTCCACATATTGGTATACTGGGGCATCATCTGTCCAACATATGCTATCTCGTTATTCGGACCTTCTGTCATTTACGCACTAGGTTACACCGCAGGGAAAGCACAGCTGATGACAGTACCTGTGTATGTGTTGGCAGCGACGTGTGCAGTGATCCAAGCCTTTGTTGTTGATCGTGTTGGCGTCAGATCCTTCTTCGTGCTCGGTGACCTGGTCTTCGTCCTGGCCGGCTTCTCCATGGCTCTTGCTGGACAATTGAGCGGGACCCCAGGCCTGATCTATGCCTCTCTGTATGTCTCTGCAGTTGGCCTCGTATCGTTATTCCCAGGCATAATCTCGTGGGTCGCAATCAACTTCGCCAACCCACGGAAAAGAGCCATTGCAATGGCCTGCCAGATTGGAATCGGCAACTTCGGTGGAGCTGCTGCTGCCAACTTCTACAGGCCTGGCAAGTATCAAGTCGGCCATGCTCTCTGCCTCGGGTTTGCCTGTTTGGCTGTCATCAACGTCATAATGCTCCAAATTGGCTACACAAGAAGCAACAGAAGAGCGGAAAAAGAGCTGAGAATGGGTAAATACGATGACAAGACCGATCTCCAGCTGTTTAGAATGGGTAACAGGTCCCCATTCTTTAAATATGGGCTCTAAATTATGACGGAAAGTCGCTTAAATTAGACGTAGATGGCCAGATGAGGTAAAATAGAGTAACCGCGGTAACGGCATGGAAGGGCCGGTACAGCCACTCCATACGGTAGGCGCACTCCTACAGGCGAAACTTCACGGGTTTCGCATCCCAGCTGAAATTCCATGTTTCCTACAAGCCTATTCGTAGCAAACTAAGGGTAAAAGGCGTCAGTCCCAGTGCTCAATCGATACGAAGGTGCCATAGGAACAGCATGGCAGAGGCATTGGACCCAGAAACAGTTATTCGTGCCCGTGAAGGGTCGCAGCATACGCGCAAGGTGCTCGTCAAGAAGCCGAAGCCACCAGCACCTATCAAGAAGTACGTGTGGTTGGCTGGACACGGTTCGACGCTTGTGTTTGGCTCAATTTATCTGGTGTTTTACGTGCTGAAATGGGTTTTAAGAACGTGGAGATGGACTCCGAGAATATGTTACGTTTTGAGCTTGGTAGGCGTGTTTGCAGCCTATTCAATTACCGTGTTGACAACGTTTGGCTCTGTGATTCCACCATACTCTACCTTGTTGGCCACTGAGAACTTCCAGCTCATGGTGATTGCAATGATTTGGATCTTTTCAAGACCTTCAGCGTTCAAATTGGCCCCTTATTTGGTGATTTCTCTATTGCAACTGTCATCTGAGTTCAAAATTGAAGCTGTTTTGAAATTGCAGAACCAATTGGGAGAGGTTGTTACGATGGCAGAGTTTGTCATCATCGTGGTGCTGATTGTCGACACGCTCTTGTTCAGAGGAACCTCTGGTTATGCTCTGGCGTTGTACCTGGGATTTTATTGGCTTCGTGTGAATTTCTCTCCGTATACTCAATCTGGGTTGCTTAAGATTATGAACCTTGTCGACGACAAGTTCATGAAGAACAACAAGTCTGCAATCAAGCCGTATTGGGATAAGTCAAAGGGCTTTGTCGAATTTAGAAGATCCCAGACGAAGAGAACCCACGAGGAAGGCTTGACCGAGGAGCCACCAGTGAAAGCGGATGCCAATATTGACCATAGCAAACAAGGCTCCGTGTTGAAAGATGACAAAAACCCTCTGCCAATTGGCCAGGTTGTTAACCGCACTGAGAAGCCTAGTTATGGTGCCAAGTTACCAGAGAGCAAGGCCAGTAATATCTACGCTGGTGTTGGTAAAGGCGACGAGACTCCTGAGCAGATATACGAGCGTAACTTCAAAGCTGGTGCATATTCTGCTGGGCTTCAGGCAGGCAGGGAATCACAGGACATCAAGAACTCATCAGCTGGGTTCTCAGACGGTGACGTTAAGGTTGGTAAAGGGTTCCAGAAGTCTGTTCCACCAATTCCAGACAAGTCTCCGTTGAAGACCTCTTCAAAGGAATCGTTGCCAAATGTTCCAACGTCACGTGTCGCAACAACAACATCTCAGTCCTCTGTTAAGCCAGCTGGCACCCAAACAACGAGTAGTTCTTTGAAGAGTGCTGGAGTTGCTGTGAATCCACAAGGCCTAAGAACACCGAAACAGGCTGAAGCTTCCACTTTCCAACAGCAGGGAACACCACAGTCTCCTTCAACCCCAAGCAGAGCACATGCACTTGATGCCCGTGAACAGTTGATTGCGAAGGCGAAGCAGATCAAAGGTGAAACCAACAACGGCAATAACCTCAGCAATGTTAAACAGGAGCTGGATGAGTTACAGAAAAGGGCACAAGATGCCATTGATTCCACACAGGGCTGATTTCACTGTGATTACTACATGTCTTTCTTTTATGTGAATTATATGCTTTTTTTTTGATATTTACTCTATTGTTTATGTTAGTAAACCCATTATAGGAGAAACAAGAGTGTGAATCACGGATTGATAAATCCAATCAGATAATTGAGCTTTTGGTATTTAGGGTTATCTTCCTGTATTCTCAGAAGCAGAACTGATATATTGGTTTTCATCATAAGATTATCAAATTCCCTCGATTCAAAGCACTTATAACTTACTCTGTCACAATGTTAGTTGGATGCTTCTCACCTCCAATGCAAGAGCAGCTGTACAGAATGGACACTTTGGAACTCTCAGATGGTGATGCATGTATTATCCATGGATCATGTAAAGAACTCACCGGGATAAAAAGGGAGAGTTTTCATCAATGGGTCATAAGTCCTTCCGAGTACAGCTGACTCCACCTCGTCAACGCCGTTCATACATACTAAACACAGTGTTAGTAACACAGCACAAGGCACAAGAGGCACACCACACCAGCGAATTGCACACGCTCGTCTCGAAACAAAAGTCATAAACGAAGAATTCCTAAAATTTTATTATGTCCTGCATATACTTCCTCAGAGAGATTCCCAATAAAATTGTATAATCATCCAATTGAATCGACAAGAGAACAACGCCATATGATGTAGAGGGTTATCACAACTTACCTTCATCGTTTTACCATGAAATCGGTGGGAAACCCCCGCCGATCACTTGGTATAGAACCAACAGAAATGGGAAGAGAAGAAGGATTCGAATTGGAAAAATTTTCAGTGATTTTAACGTACCGGGAAACGCCCGCGAAATTTTTCACTCAGACTTGAGATTTTAGGGCAACTTGATGGTGTTTGTATGGGCAAACTCGCCAGATGAGCTGCGTGCCACTGGGTTTCGCTGTGATTGATGGCTTCTCCATGGCCGAATGATGGTATAATCACCTCCTTTGCCGATTACTAGGTGTATTTTGTGAGAATTTAGCACCGTTTTATGCCCCAGATCACTACAAAATCAGTCCAAACCGTTATAAATGTACATTAATGTGACACCCGTATTTACTCGGAAGAGGTAGCACGGACGTAGATCAATTGGGTAGCGTGCTTGGAGACTGGCTTAATCAAACCCTCGTTCTCCAAGTGCTTGATGGCGACACGGGCAAGGGAACCACCAATTTTCATACGGTCAACAAGGATGGAGACAGAGATGAATCTGAAAGTTGGAACCTCCTTGATAATTCTGTCGAATTTGTCCTGGTCAAGCATGATGGCGTGTTGAGCTTTGTCTTTAACACGACCTTTGGACCATTTCTTCTTGGACTTCTTACCACCGGCCATGGCAGCAGCAGCTTTAGCAGCCTTGGATTGTTGAATTTTTGGAGGCATCTATGTGAAATTACGGTTAGTAATTGCTTCTAGTGAGAAGGTGTAAGATCGGTCATGACGATGGAGGCAGGCCCTCTGCTGATATGGTGAATCCTGAGCCATCACTCCAGTACACTGTCCTTGTATTGGTTTCATCGCTTTCGTTTCATGTCACTACATCACTGTGGTCCTTCAATGGAAAAGTTCAACAAAGCAACGCACACAGAGGACAGGTGCCACCAACGGTGTTCTTCAGCGAGCTTCAAGCGTTAATTCTCCATGTTGATATGCCCTCTTCACGTTCCTCGCCATCATCTATGTTCCCCTTCCAACGTCATTCCCATCTTGCTTTCAAACAACATACTTTTGCTGATGATTCTGTCTACTCAAAACAGGAACAGTAAGATGGAAGGACAGAAACTGTGAAGAGATTTCAAAGAGTTTTGGCGATGTTGTGAGCGGACCAAAAAAAAGCGCGTGTACACCCGGACATTTTTCGAGGGGGGACGCTGGAAATGAAGAAAAAGCAAAAAGTTGTGCAAAGCCCTATGTCGCATCACGTGTACATGAAAGCCTCACTGGAGCCCTAAAAAACAACTGCCTGTTACCCTACTGTGAATGCTTCAAATATTTTTCTTTGCCCGCTTTCCTTTGGTAAACAAACAAACAACAAACATCAACAACAACTACAATCGGTAGTTTATCTCTGTTTACGTATTCGTTGAACACAGCGGTTAACTATTGACGATGTCTGGTAAGCGCGGTGCATCCGAGCAGATCACCAGGGAGAATTACAGGGATGATGACGATGATGAAGAAGGAGTTCCATCGCAACCAATGAGGGCTTCAGCTGATGTCCTGGCAAAGAGAAAGATCTTAAAGCCTAGGGGTAGATTGGGGAAGACCGGCGGTGTTTCCACAGCCAAGGCATTCCCAGCGTTCCAGTTTGGTAACGGCGGCTCCAACGGCGGCTCCAGCACTAGTGCCAGCGCTGTTGCCGAAGCTCCAAAGACAAATGCATTTAGTATGTTTGCACCAAAGAAAGAAGTTCAACCAGTGGCATCGAGCAAATCCGTGGAGAAGGCTTCGAAGATCAAAGCGTTGAACGACAACTTTTACGATAAGATCACCAAGGAGAAGGGCGCCAACCCAGTGTCCAATTTCACGCCGATCTTGAAGAAGTACATTGACTATTACGACAAGATTGATAGAGATGTGGATATGGATGCTGAAGAGACCACCAGTGCACAGCAGCAATTGGAACAACCGCAGAGGAGGGCGATTGAGGATTCACCCGAGGAGAAAAAGTCAACACCGTCTGTGCCACCAAGCTTCAGCTTTGGCTCCACAACTACGACTGCGACTGCAGCACCTTCATTACCAGTTTTCAACTTTGGTTCTAAATCACTTACGAAGGAGACAAGTACAGAAGAACCTAAGGAGAAGGAGGATGGGGCCATTGACATCGATTCGGATGATTCAGACGATAGCGTTAAAGTTGAAGGGCCAAAGTTCACACTTGAGAAACCTCCAACCACAACGGACTCCGTCTTCAAATTGTCAAATGACGCTACTACACAAAAGAGTTCTGGTACAGGACCAACTTTTACCTTTACTTCAACTGGAAAATCAGATAGCGTTTTCAAATTGAAGCCTGAGGCAAAAGCTGAGGCTAAAGCTGAAATTAAACCTGCAGCTAAACCAGCTTTGGAGACCACAACAAACAGCTTTACTTGGTCACCAAGTAAGCCTCTAGAAACTGGTAAAGATGATCAGAGCAAACCAACTTTCCAATTTGGTTCGAATGTGACAGCGTCTAAACCAGATGCTAAAAATGAAGCAGCTGAACCAGCCTTCAAATTCGGTTCAACAGGTTCCACTTTCAACTTTGGTTCCACAGATGAAAAGAAGACCGAAGAAAAAACCGAAGGGGAGGTTACTAAACCAACAGCTACCTTTAACTTTGGTTCTACATCTACAAACCCTACAGCTGCTTTCAACTTTGGTGCAACGAGTTCAAGTGCTAAGCCAACAACCACTTTTAACTTTTCAGCACCATCAACGACAATTTCAACTGATAAGCCAACTTTCCAATTTGGAGCAACGAGTGCAACCTCAAATGATAAGCCAAATTTCCAATTTGGATCGACAAGTGCAACTTCTAATGGATTCAACTTTGGTGGTTCAACTGCAGGAGCAACGAGCCAGTTCAACTTCACAATGAGCGGATCCACACAACCGGGTACTAACCAAAGCTCGGACAATAAAGACGATGAGAAGCCAGATGAAACTGAGCCAGATGTCCAGTTCAAACCTGTAACTGAATTAAAAGAACAAGTGGCTACAAGTACCGGTGAAGAAGATGAGACTGTACTGTATACGAAACGTTCTAAGCTTTTACACTTTGACGTTGAGAAAAAAGCATATGAGACCAAGGGTGTTGGTGAGGTCAAACTGTTACAACACAAGGAGACTGAAAAAGCACGTCTCCTATTACGTGCAGAGGGATCTGAACGTGTTATCCTAAACACTGCAATTGCGAAAACCTTAGAGTACACCAATGTTGGTAAAGGTGTTCGCATTCCAGTTGTTGAAGGTGGCAAGATTGAAACGTATGTGCTGAGGGTAAAGACCGATGACGATGCGAATGCACTAGTGAACGCCATTGCAGAGGCAAAGAACAAGTTGTAAGAGTGTATATATATAATACCCAAAACTTTATGTACAAGGGCGAGTGTTTATACCCGTTCAACGTAGCGTGTCATGTGCTTGGAGCCCAATTGCCCAGCTGGTTATAGTCTTCTTTATCCAGCATGTCTAAGTTTTCCAGGTTATGAACCAAGATCTTATCACAGTTGTGGTTCAGTTCAAATACAAAGATACCAAATATGACACGGATCTCCTTTGATGTTTCGCCACTGGACAGTGGTTTAGAACTACCAAAGAGCGTCCCCAACACGCCCCCAATATCAAATCTTCGAGCATCGCCATCACTCTTGGCCTGTACTGGCTGATGGGCCTCCGTAGCCGGCGTTGCACCCTTTATATGGTGGCATCCTCCAGAACAAGTGGTCCATTTGACAATGACCTTTGTGCTTCCAGGTATCAGCCCGTATATATGGGTCTTTCCTTCCTCATCGACTTCAAGATCGGTGATGTGTAGCTGGGTCTGCGGATGCAGCAAGAACGTTGTGAATATCAGCTGTGTCGCCTTCAGGCTCGTCACATAGCTCATATGGCCCTTGATCATGGGCACGTTGGGGTGCACCGTAGGTGCAACCCTTAGCGTGATGTCATCTGAGAGCCTATCATGATCAGGTAGCTGTGTCAATGCCACTGGGACATAATCCCTTATGAACTCAACCATGGAGCCGAGGTTGACTTTTCTCACTGGTGGCGGCCTGTGGTTCTCACGGCACGCCAACGATGGTGCAAACCTCAGCGTGGAGGAGGCCCTCACGAGCCCTCTGGTTATCATTTGTCGATGCTGTTCATGTGTCGAGCTATGTGTCAAAGTGGGCTCGGTGATGCTTTTGTCGCTCTGCCTAAGTGGGCTGGTGCCCCGGGGTCTGCCTGGGCTGTCTGCTTCTGCGTACGCACCCTGGCCTGCCTAGGGAGCGTAGGCTGGAACACCTGGACACCCATACACCTGGACACCATAACCCCGGCGGAGTCAGCTTCGCTCCCCCTGCCGCACGCGCTCATAACGCCCAAGGTGATACTAATAACAAATTTCCGTGACTTTGACTCCGGGTACCGATGGGATAAATTTTACGTCGATGAGGTGGTAATAACTTTCTCCTTCTTCCTCTTCTCTCGCTCCCTCCTCTCATCACAATCACCAAGTCGATACAGATTTGAAATCAGCAAAGCAACAATGTCCAACGACAAATACGCCACACCGTTGTCCTCTCGTTACGCATCTGAAGAGATGTCCCATGTCTTTTCGTTGCGCAACAGATTCTCCACGTGGAGAAAGCTGTGGTTGAACTTGGCCATTGCTGAGCGCGAGTTGGGTCTTGACGTGATCACGGAGGAGGCGATCGAGCAGATGAAGCAGCACTTGCAGATCACGGACGAGGAGATCAAGCTGGCTTCGATTGAGGAGGCCAAGGTCAGACACGACGTCATGGCCCATGTCCACACATTCGGTGACACTTGTCCAAGCGCATCTGGTATCATCCACCTGGGTGCCACCTCATGCTTCGTTACTGATAACGCCGATCTGATCTTCCTCAGAGATGCGTACGACATTGTGATCCCAAAGCTGGTGAACGTTATCGACAGATTGTCCAAGTTTGCTGAGGAGTACAAGGACTTGCCAGTGCTTGGATGGACCCATTTCCAACCAGCTCAGCTGACCACTGTGGGCAAGAGAGCTACTCTTTGGATCCAGGAGCTGCTCTGGGACTTGAGAAACTTTGTCCGTGCCAGAAACGACATTGGTCTCAGAGGTGTCAAGGGAACCACCGGTACACAGGCCTCTTTCCTCGCTTTATTCCACGGTGATCACGACAAGGTTGAGGCCTTGGACAAGCGTGTCACTGAGCTCTTGGGCTTCGACACAGTTTACCCTGTGACTGGTCAGACCTACTCCAGAAAGATCGATATCGATGTCTTGTCCCCATTGTCGTCGTTTGCGGCAACTGCCCATAAGATGGCTACCGATATCCGTCTCTTGGCCAACTTGAAGGAGATTGAAGAGCCATTTGAGAAGTCCCAAATCGGTTCATCTGCGATGGCCTACAAGCGTAACCCTATGAGATGTGAACGTGTCTGTTCCCTTGCAAGACACTTGGGCTCGTTGTACAACGATGCCGTTCAAACTGCCAGTGTCCAGTGGTTTGAGAGAACCTTGGATGACTCCGCAATCAGACGTATCTCCCTGCCAAGTGCGTTCCTCACGACTGATATCCTCTTGTCAACCTTGTTGAACATCACCTCCGGACTCGTTGTGTATCCAAAGGTGATTGAGAGAAGAATCAAGGGTGAACTGCCATTCATGGCCACCGAGAACATCATCATGGCCATGGTTGAGAAGGGTGCTTCCAGACAGGACGTCCACGAGGAGATCAGAGTGCTGTCCCACCAAGCTGCCGCTGTGGTTAAGCAGGAGGGAGGTGACAACGATTTGATTGAGAGAATCAAGAAGACCGAGTTCTTTGCACCAATCCACAGTGAGCTGGATTCTTTGTTGGACCCATCTACGTTTGTCGGTAGAGCTCCACAGCAGGTTGAGAAGTTCCTGGCCAACGACGTTAAGAAGGCGCTGGAGCCATTCAAGGACTCCATCACTTCTGAGGAGGTGAAGCTGTCCGTCTGATTTCTATTTATCTACTCTGTTTACTATGAAAACACAAGCTGTTAATACTTGCTAGTGCGTAGCGATGGCTGCGCCTGTAGACCACCAATGATCACCAGCGACCACCAGCGACCACCAGCGACCACGAACGATCACCAACGATCACCATCGATCACCAGCGACCACCATCGATCACCATCGTATACACCGAAGCAGCAAATCCGTCCCATCCTCTCGCACCGCACAAAATTCCTCTATGCGGAACGGTTTAAGCGAGAGAAATTTCATCTCTGCATAGTTGTTTCTAAAAACAAACACTGCAAGAAGCACAGAAGGAGAAAAACTTGCTTCTGAAATTAAAACCCTTTGGAAGGAGTTTTTACCTCTGGTTTTCCCTGCTCTCGTGATAAACAGGCAAGAGGTTAAGGCCATGATGTCGAGCAATACGACGGTGAAGAACAGAGTGCCTTACTATACGCTCATAGTGGTTCCCATATTATGTCTGGTGCTTCTTCTGTTGCATGATCACTCCATTGACTGGGGCAGCGGGATCGAGCAACAGGAACAGCGGCAGGACGACAGCGGTGGAGGGCTATACTTTGAGGCCCGTGATGCGTTTGTGAAGAAGCTTGCGGTGCTTGAGAGGTGTTTGGATAAGAGGGACGACAGTAGTAGCAGTGAGACTGGAGCAAACAACACATGGACTGGGGAGACGTCAACGACGGACCTTTCGGGTGGGATCTCTACGTCGGACGAGACGAGTTTGAGCCAGTTTGGCATTTCAACCGATGTGGCGAGCTCGGTAGGCAGTGAAGTGACTTCAGCTGGCGACTCCTCTAGTGATGAGTTTACCAGCTCCGGGTGGTTGTCCAGTGTTGAGGAAACGTCTGGTGATGCTGTTGAGAGTAGCGATTTTGAGACATCGTCTTGGGAACCAAGCTCGGTGTTTGAGACCTCGACTACCAGCAGTGAATGGTTGTCATCAGTGTCGTCGTCGATGCCTTCGTCGTCGTCGATCTTCTCGCCTACGTCAACGTCAGAATCATGGTCGAGCACCGCATTGTCATCGTCCTTATCAACACCATCAACGTCGTCCTCATCATCTGAATCATCATCCGAATCATCTGAATCATCATCAAGCTCATCAAGTTCGTCAAGTTCATCAAGCTCATCAAGTTCATCAAGCTCAACGAGCTCATCAAGCTCATCAAGCTCATCAAGTTCATCAAGCTCAACAAGCTCTTCAAGCTCATCAAGTTCAACAAGTTCAACAAGTTCAACGAGCTCATCAAGCTCATCAAGCTCATCAAGTTCAACGAGCTCCTCGGATGTCGCAATCACAACAACACAGGGGGATCGTACAGTTGTCATCAACCACACAACTACAGTCGTCATCACACCAACTGTCTCTGAAACGGTGACACAGTCACAGACGAGCTCGGCAACCCCAACAAACGCAAACATCGATCCAAATGCCCAGTCAAAGAACAACAACAACCACCACGACGGAGTCATCATCGGCTGTACCGTTGGCATCGGTGTTCCTGTGCTATTGGCCCTCGGGGGTGCTTTCTACTACTTCTACCTACGCAGAAACAGAGGCAAATCCTTCATCAACTCAGAAGGTGAGCTTGTCAACAAGAACAAGAGGGAGGAGATGATTGATGAAAAGTACTTTGACGAAACCGTTGCTGACGAGGCTACTCCAGAGCTGGGCAACACTGATCACGATGGCATTAACTACGATGACGACACCTACGTACCGAACAGAGGCCCTTCAGTGCATTATAACAGCCGACCTAACAACGCTGTCAATTTCTAATCTCGTTTATTCGTCGTATAGCATATTTTATCACCCATTTAATTATAATATAACCATCAAAATAATAATAATGATTATGATCTGCGATAAACAAATGACGTCATAGCTGAGGTGACGAGTCGGATTTCGGAAATCTAACCGGAATAGTTTTTTTTTTCTCTGTTCATTTCTCTATCTCTTCAAAGTTGTAGAGGAAATAATGGAGGGTTCAACCGGGTCTAATGGAGTCTATTGGGAAGTATGCAACTAACGGGGTACCGATAACAAGCATACACAGGAAGCTGGACTTTATCTTCACTTCACAGGGAGATTCTGTGGAGTTATACTCGCATGGATCGGATAATACCGTCAGCAGCGTTTCAACGTATACGGGGCATGCCACAAGAGTTATCAATGCGATGGAGTTTATAGACACGACGATATTTGCCAGCGTTAGCAATAGAATAGTGATACACGATATTGCGAGGACAGAGCCCCTGAGGAGGATCATTCCAGGCCTGGACACCGGTGATTCCAGAGGGAACTACTCAAATCTAAAGATTACAGACATAACAACTCTAAACAGGGACATAATATCTATCTGCGATGAGAATAGGTTTGTGAAGATTTACGATTTGAGACAAAACTCAATGTTTCGGCCTGTACAGCTGTTTCGAGACTCATCTGACTCTTTGAACTCTATAGCGTACGACTCCCTCAACAACTGCCTAATCACCGGAGGCAGTGACGGTGTACTCTACAGATACGATATTAGAAAGGGGTTGTTGGTTAAGGACCCGTTAGAGGACTGCATAACATGTATAGATATAAGCACTCAAGATGGCACCGTACTGCTGAATACGTTTGGAGGGTTGAAAGAGCTAAACTTAGCCATTGGTTCTAAACAGGGGGTTCTGAGCATCTGGCATAAGGACACCGACGATGCCTCCTTCGCTGTACAAGCAAAGTACTCGTCATTAGCACCTTCGTCTTCTCCCAACTCCAGGAGGAGACACGTCCTAAGCGGTGGTGAAAACGGATGCGTGTACATGTGGGAATTATCTACAGCTGACAGCCCCCCAGCGCATTCCACGTGTGGTCCGGGTACTAATGCCAGTATCGTGAACAACGTTTCAACGCTAAATTTGGCACCAGAAGGCCATATGGTTGGATGTGTTGAAGCTTTCCACACTAAAGCTAACAACGATAATAATAATAATGACAGTGGTAACAATAATAACAACAACAGAGCTATATTTGGAGACGGTGAGGGGTATATACATCAAGTTACTATACACGAATAACACACATCCACAATGGTATAAACTGCGTGAGTCCCCGTCATATGCAAGCGTCGTTGCAAATAGCCTACATAATATGATGTTGTGCCTTAACTAAGTGTAATGATGTCATAGGGGCCGATCAGGTTATTTATGGCTCAACATACATTCTGATGTACCGGAATGGGAGGGCCAAACCTGGGGAAGGACAAATGGTAAGGAGAGCCCCAGGTTTCCACATATATAAACCGCCGATTTTGGCAGCTTGATCTATATGTTTACCCTCGCCAGAGTGTAGAACTAAAGGAACAAAGCATATAGCCACAGCCCCTTGAGAGGAAAAACTATTTGATTCAATCGTGTAATTTCCTCATTTGGAAATTGGCGTGTGTTTTGTTTTGTGTTTCTTTTTTGCGAGCGCTGAGGGCTTGCGTTTTTTCGTTTTCGTTTTTTTTGGCGCTGGTGTGTGCCGCTCTTCCTCGAAAGCGAATAACGAGACATTTCTTGAACATCAGGTTTTTTTCCTTCTTTGTACTTTCTCCTTCACTCTGCTATTTCCCAATCGTGGCCGATTAGAAGTGTGAATTAAGTAGTGAGGAGCAAGGATCTGCTAGCTAGAAAGAAGGCGTACGAGGACAACACAGTGTATTCTTCAACAGCGCTCACGGTGTACGATGTTAGAGGTAAGTTCATTGTGTCCTTTGTTAGTGTTTATGGGTACTAATACACAACTGCTCCCCCCTTTCGTCTGCAGAATCTCAAGAGCTTTAAGAATTTGATACGTAAGAAGGAGAAGGTGGCTGCTGAGGATGCTCCAGCCGAGAAGATCAAGGAGAACAAGGAGAATGATTCCTCCCCGTACCCGGATTTGCCTGGCCGCTATTCGCTGCTTGAACGGATTGGAGACGGCGCCTTCTCCACTGTCTTCAGAGCTCACGATAAGGAACTCGACATCGATGTTGCCATCAAGATCATCGACAAGACTGAACTGACAAAGAGCCAGATGGACGTTGTTTTGAAAGAGGTTGCCATAATGCGCCGTCTCGACCACCCAAATGTTGTCAAGATGTATAACTACATCAATACAGAAACGGTATGCTTTATCATTATGGAATACGTCTCTGGTGGTGAACTGTTTAACCAGATTGTTAAGCTCACATACTTCTCCGAGGATTTATCTCGTCATGTCATTATACAGGTGGTCAAGGCCATTGACTACCTACACTCTGAAGTTGGAGTGGTCCATAGGGACATCAAGCCTGAGAACCTATTCTTTGAAAAGATCCCACTATTCCCACGTGAAGCTGGTTCCAGTGTCCATAGACGTGCGTCTGATGACTCATCCAAAGTTGACGAAGGTGGCTTTGTACAGAACGTTGGTGGTGGAACAGTTGGCCGTGTTAAGCTGGGTGATTTTGGACTGTCAAAGGTTTTGTGGGATTCAAATACGAAGACACCATGTGGAACCGCATCTTATACTGCTCCTGAGATCGTTAAAGATGAATCTTATTCTAAATCAGTGGATATGTGGGCAATTGGCTGCGTCTTGTATACAATGCTCTGTGGATTCCCACCATTTTACGACTCAGATCCAAAAACACTGACACTGAAGGTTTCTCGCGGTGAATACACTTTCTTATCTCCTTGGTGGGATGAGATCTCCAAAGAAGCAAAGGATCTGGTTTCTCATCTGTTAACCGTTGATCCAACAAAGAGATACAGCCCAGAGGAGGTACTTAACGATCCTTGGATCCTGAAGAACTCTAGACCAACAACTCCGGCTTTGGATGCACCTGTCTATCAAACAAAATCAGAGTCGATCTTGAGATTTGAACAGGTGATACCACAGGAGTCGAGTGGTGTATTAAGTCCCCGAGCAGAGGCTTTGAAGTTTGCCTTTGATAAGGGTATCTCCATCCAAAGAACTGCAACTCCGCTGAGGAGATTGTTAGAGGAGGATGACTACTTTGATGAGAGCGACGACGATGAAGATGATGATGATGACGACGAAGATACAACCAATAATGATAATGACAAGACTAAGCATAATAACAATGAAGATGACGAGGATGACGACGACGATGACAGTGGGAGTGACGTTTACGTTTGTGCCAAATCACCAGTCATGAGGAAGTTTCCACACCATAGCACACCGCTGCCGTTGACTCCCTATGTCACAATGAAGAAGAAGAAGAACTCTACAATTGTCGTTGAGAATGAAGTTGTCAGCGAGCAAGATGCATTAAAACAATCGAGAGACCTCTCACCGTCCTGTTTTAAACAAGTTGATACTACGTTCCACCTGAACTTTGACGGTAATACGCTGTTGAACAGGAGAAAGATGAGTGGAGGGTTTGCGTGTGGTCCAAAGACCTGACTGAACTGTTATTTACCTTCAGGAGTGTAATTCCACAACTCGAATCATAGTACCGGAAACGTAAACAGATGTAAACAAATGTAAACAAATGTAAGCACGTGCGATTTTGTGTGGCTAAATTCCCCCTTATCAAGATTTGTCATGGGACCACATCGCTGCTTATCGGTGATCACTGACAGGCCCTCCTTATCAGGCTATCTCTGTGATCACCACGATTGTGCAACGGATTAGCAAAAAGAAGTGAGATCTATCTAGCCATCTAGCCTATGCCCTAAGACCAGTCCAACGAGAATCTCCTTCAACCAAACAGAGATTGACGAAGAATTCAACCACCTTAACACCACTGAGAAACTGTTCTAGAACATTCTAGCCAATTCCTTTTACAGCGTGCGTGAATCGTGGCGAATGACTAAGATTACGGTACGCGCAACACGATAACGCCATCAAATTGCGACCCCCGTCAGTGATGCAGTGATCACCCGCCACTCCCTGGTGATCATCTCAGTCACACGAAGTCTAAATTTAAAGCCCATTTCTTCCCTCCGCTGTTTTCCTTTCGTGTAAACACAACAGCGGCTACAGCAACAACACCAAACGAGGAAGAGAGACGCTTCTGAGACTTCTTTGAACACTTCATAGAGATGGCAACAGTGGTAACAACGACTCCAGAAGCGGCACCAGTGGGAGCCGCGCTATCAACAACGTCTGGGTTGCTTGCCGCCACGGAAGGGTACAAGCATGCCATCAACGAATACAGCGCCTACGAAGCTGGTGTGTTGTTGAACAACAGATATCTCAAGCTCGCAAACATCCAGGCTGGCTCATATGGGCAGGTTTCGTTGGCTCGTGACGTTCAAAAGGAGCGTGACGTTGCCGTCAAAGCGATGGACAAGTCCGTAAAGGGGGTTTCCATTATGGCTCGCCATGAGATCTCTGTGATTAGAAGGGTTGGGTATCACCAGAACATCTGTCAGCTGCTAGACTTCTTTGAGACCAAGTCTCACTACTTCTTGGTGTTTGAGTACTGCGAGCACGGCGATTTGTACGACTTTTTGAAATCACAAGCAAGCAAGGATTCCAAAAAGTTGCACGGGTTCCAATCGCATTCCTCTCCGATCCTGTTCAAACAGTTTGTCAAGGAGTTGTGTGCGGCTGTCGAGCACTCACACAGACGTGGTGTTTATCATCGGGACATCAAACCTGAAAACATCCTCATTGCGTCGAACGGGTCCATAAAGCTCACTGATTGGGGGTTGGCAACTCTTAGCTGCCAGGCTGCAGACCCATGTATCGGCACAGAAAAGTACATGGCACCGGAGACTTTCTTCAAGAAGAGCTCAAAGCCTCTTGTTACCTATGACTCTGCAAAGGCAGACTACTGGTCATTGGGTATCACTCTTCTGTACACGTTGTTTGGAAGATGTCCTTTCAAGTTGGCGAACGTGTCTGCAGACACAAACTTCAAGAAATTTGTGGACTCTTCCTATCACCTGTTCAACATGTATCCAAACCTATCCAAACATGGGTTCCATGCGATCATGCAATTGTTACAACTGAACCCAATTCATAGATCTATGGATAAATGTCTTGAAGTCTTGAACGAATCTTATGGTTCCGGATTAACATTGGAACAGGAGATGGACCAATATGTCAACTACAACGGTTCCGAATTGTTTGAAGATGACTCAAACAATATGATGTTTGGATTGGATGATGAGTTGGAGCCTTTGGAGTCGCAACACGACGTTGATGAAGAGACTACAGAAGAGTACAATACCCTAAACGACGGTGCCCAACAGTCAACAACATCGAATGAAGATCTAGAGGTTGAATTGTCTGGAACAATGCCACCTCCATCTTTGACTTGTTCGCTGTTTGGTACCTCATCGTCATACCCAATGGGCGGAACTTCGTGGGCTGAAATGCACGATGAGTTGGATGATCATTTCAGCTTTCAAATCCAACGTATTGGTTCTCTCCTGGAGAAGCAAACTAGACATTGAACACACACACAGACACACAAAGTTGCATTCGTTGCCAATTGATACACCTTAGAGGATGATACACAGCAACGTTTATACACACAGCATGGTGGTAACCTTGAAGGTTTTACCACACAATCATCATTTCATAGATAAATCTACATTTTGATTTCTCGTATTTTCGAATGTTAATTTCGTCTGGATTGTAGTATATAATAAGGGCATACGTGAATTCAGTAATCGCCGTAAAGTCCAACGGTGGCCACGACAAAGCCCAACGTGGAAATGGCAACGTTGATGTAATCGCCCAAGTGTACGCTGTAAAGAGTATCCAGCAACGACTTTTGAGCCAAATGGAGTTCAACTTCCTGTTCAGCTTCAGAGTCCTCATCACCAGTTGACGTTGTCTGAGCCGATGGGGTCTCCTCATCTGAGGTTGTCAGCACATCGCCAAGGTCTTTGTACGTGGAATTGTCCAGTTCAGAGATAACCTCTTGTTTGTGCTTCTTACTGGCTGGTCTTTCAGCTTGTCTCTGCTTCTTCATCTTCTTCAGCTCACAGTACTGATGCAGATGAGGTCTTGTCAATCCCAGGTAGATGATACTGGTCAGCGGAGCAACCAAAGAGGCATAGATGAGATACGGATGCTTCAGGGCCCTTGGTGCCTGTGTGTACGCCATGATGAAGGCACCGGTGGCGATGGTACCGAGCGACGCCAGCAGAGCACCGGTGGTTTTGATCTTGCCCAAAACCAACCCCGTCGCCTTCTCTGACGTTGCCACTGTTGCGGTCTTCAACACATGAGACATAATGCCGTAGTTCGACAAGTTTGAGGCAATGACACCGGCATAGATACCAAGCGAGGTTGTTCCGACGACTTTGATTACAGTGAGACAGGTCCCCATGTTTCAGCTGTTATTGTTTTCCGTCGATGTTGTTGATGTTATGTGTTGTATGGAGAGGTTCGCCCTTTGGGAAGCTCTGAAGGCCTTTTCGTCCTTGCGCTTATTTTTTTGCTGCCCGTCCGCTCTCCGTGAGCGCCCGGGACGCTGCACCGGGCACTTCTTACGCAAACATCAACATCACGCTGTATTTGTCAACTCGGTCGTCTATGCTAGGATGTCTCGCAATGTATCGAGACAAACCCAATAGCTCAGTGTAACTCCATGGACGGGCTTATGTCTTCTCGCTATGCGGAAGGTGAACCGCCGCTGCATTCGTAGTAGTTTGTCCATTAGAGATCGGATATCACCTTCTTGACTCAGCTGGCCTTGCTGAACTCCTAGGAAATCGTAGACATCTTGTCCTTCGTAGCGTAGGCTGAGGCAGTTCCTGTTGATTGACGAGGTCTTGTGCTTTTCATGGAGGTTCGACACGATGAGTTGGAAATTATTGAGCGTTCTTTCGCCTTGGAATCGGTGGTTGTAGAGCTCGATGTCGAATGGATCGATGCCAATGATATAACCTGGGAAGTAGTACACTTCCTCTGGGCTGAACTCGGTGTGAAGCATGATGTTTTCAATCGCAAAGGGATCGGTGTCTATCACTTCTTCACCGGAGTTTCTGGCCGTGGGCGATGTGACCAGCTCATTGCTGTTGGACAGTTGTAATTTCTGCGATGGTGTCATCTCTAGGGAGTTTGAAGTCTCCACCTGTACTACATGGTGCTGTACAGTGGCGGTCCTCTCTTGTACACCGTCATGGTCACAGTCACTATCACTGTCCAGGGATGAAGCACCACTATCCTGCTCTATCGTGTCAGCTTGCGTTTCCAAGAACTGAGTTTCAAACTTGATGGAATCAGTAGTGCTCTGTGTTATATTCACCGCTGGGACGAATAGAGGGTTCACAAAGGGCGCTTCATTCGAGCAGATAGATGGGATACTACTCTTGACAATCTTGGGCTTCTTAGGATTCTCATTACAATCCTCCGTGATGGAATCCCGCTTCCTAGACAGTATATCCAGTATGCCTTGAAAGTCGCCATTCTTCACAATCTGAAGATACCCCAAGCTGCTCAGAGAAGATACCAAAAGCTTCACCTTGGACTTCATCTTCTTGCTCATGCCAAAGACAGACATCGGGTTGTTGTTCAAGACTTGAAAGCTGTCCAACTGGAACGTGTAGCGATCCAATGGCTTGGAACACACCAAAGTACACTTCAATAGCACAAGTTGCCCCTTCGAGAGGAACTCAGTAAAGCCGCCATACGCACCACATAGCTCTTCAACAGCTCGTACACGCTCAGCAGGCACAGACGCCTTGATGAACTGGGAGCCGTTCACCTTTGTGAAGTCAGTCAGTGTCACCAGCGAAAGCGAACTGTCCCATGAGCACAGCATCAAGATACACCTAACCTTACAGCCACCGTACGGAACCGGGACAGAATTCGCATCAGAGATGACCCTCAGCTCACTGAAGGCCATGGAGGCATCCTTCTTGAACATCTCGCAAAGCAACTATGGGGTCGTACCCTGGTACGGTTTCTAAGCAACGCGTCTGCTCTGGCTCTGATGTTGTGTGTTGACGGAACGCGTGTTTTCGCGTCGCGTTTGTTTACCTTTTTGCCCACCAACTTCCAACTCCACGACGTGCTAAGAGAGGGTGCCATGGAACACGATGAAGTACTATGAGACACTGGCTGATCTACCGGCAGGTGATGCGAAGTACTATGCTCACTTCACGGCGCAGGTGTTTGTTGTTCAAAAGAGAGATGCCCAGGTGATACTGACGGTCTCAGACCTCACTGAGAACCCAATGTTCAGATGTCGGTTTGTCGATAGGGTGTTCTTTGGGTCGCTGGAAGAGAAGATTGGCGTGGAGAAGCTGGTGCAAGTGATTGTGTTGGATGACTCGTGGGATGAGCTGGTGAGCGGGTTCGTGTCGGTCACTGGGGACTCGCTGTTTGTTCGACCAGGCACTCGTACAAACGTTGCCAAGTATGGCCTGTTTGTTGATTTCCATGTGAAGGTGAAGATGTACTCTAACTCGTTAGAGTGCGTGATTTCAGAGATGGACCCTGAATCAGAGATGCATCTGATTGGTTACCACTTCAAGAATCTTGATTTTGAGCTCAGACATCGAACATTCACCAATGTATTGGAGAACACGCCTATGGAGTTTCTGATCGCAGAAAGACACAATTACGAAAGGGTGTTTGGAGTGGAGCTTTTCCAAAGGATCCTTGAAGGACTGCAGTACGATGGTAAGCTCATCCCACTCTGCGGATCACAAAGCTCTGATATTAAGAATGATTCCCCTTTCCCTGAGTTACCGACAGATGATGAGTTTGAGAGGGATTATAGATCGAAACGTATGGAAGCGGAGCTCACTCAAGACGACGCCGAGGCACAGAGCGGAGGAAACTCAGCTGGTGCTTCATTTCGTGAGCTGAACTTGACCAATGATGATATTCCTCGTGAAGTTGAGGGATACATCATTGAGATCAACAACATTGACAAGTTCTGTACCAAGACAGAGCCCAGATCGATACCCAAACTCAACCAGTTGGATCTTTACATGGTCCTGGATCTTTCAAGCAAAAAGCCACTAGATGAATTGGACCTGTTACAAATCACGGTCCCAGCAACGGAACTGTATACGTTCTTTGAAATGGATGAGATTGAGCAAATCTACGTCGACTCTTCCAAACTATCCAATAGGATGAGGAACTTCATGTGTGAAAGAGTACGTTTGAACATTGTGCGAACAAAGAGAAGGATCAGCGACTCTAACTACATCCTTGGATGGACATTGGTGAACACCACGTTGAATCAAATCGACATTAGACTGCATTGAAAGAACGTGTATATATATCATATATATATATATATATATCTTTCCCACCTGGGGAGGATTCAGTTCTCCTTTAACCAAGATACCAGATCCGTTATTACTCTTTGGAACAGTTTCTCTCTCTCCAAGAACAAGTTGTTCATTCCCTTTGTGTATTCCAGGAGATACGCTTGCTTAGCTCCTGCAACGTTATTGATGAACTGGTGAGTGGCTGAAGCACAAGTCAAGGGGTCTTCCAAGCTTTGTATGATGAGCACATTGGCCACCGTGAATTGTGAGGTATACTTCTTATTCAACAAGAGGTGTGAAATATCCTGGATCATCTTCAGCTGCAGATTCGACAGTTTGGTGAAGGAGTAAGATTCACTTCTCAAGAACTCCAACCATGGGGTGTCCTTTGTGAACAGGGAGAGGTCGGTTCCCAAGTCCACAATGGCATTTGGGTTCATCTTTGCCCTCCATCTCAACTTTAGTGACGATGATTGTTTCATTAGTAGTTCAGCGGGCTGCACTAATGGATTTATACCAACTATTGTACTGACTTTCTCTCTCTGGGAACCTTGGATTCCATAGAGCAAAGCCTCTGCACCAGATATGAAATGGCCCATGATGTGAATTGGAGTCTGTGGATGTGGAGAGTTGGCAATGTCCTCATGGCACAGCGAAACCACAGTATCAATCTCGTCCATGATGGATTCTATGGTGCAGACATGAGTCTCAGCGTTATCGTTGGTTCTGTAATAGACAACTTCATACCCGTAACTGGTCAAGACATCGATGCATCTTCGGAACAGAAGGATATCTTCACCTGGGTTATGGAGGCAAATCACACGGGCTTTTATCAAAACTTGGTCCTCGTCTATGGGCTGTATAGAGAAGCAAGGTCGATTCGGTTAGTATCAAGGATTCAACTGTATGCCGTGGTGGTACGTACCCATATCTGTGCGTCGATGTTCTTCTTCGAAACAAGCCGAGGCTCCTTCTCATAGGGGAAATAAGGGTATGACATTAGTTGCAAATGGATTCAAGTAGACTTCTGGTGTGTATATCACTGCCGCAATATTCTCAGGAAGGCACAACTCAGCATGCAATCAATTGATCAGTACTTATAATAATCCCCTTGGCAAGCGTTGTATGACCCATAAATCACCACGTTACCCTGTGTAGCCGAATTCACTTGCACACCCACCGAGATTGGAGCAAACAGCCTTCAAACAAGGTCAATTGACAAATGTCTCTTGATCTTCCACAACAATTGGAGGTTCTCGTGCAAAGTTTGGGCAGGGTTTCCTCAAGAGAGAAAACTTTTCAGACGTAATGCGATTGGTCGCATGTCCCAACAGAGACGGGGACAAAAGTTATCTTACGCGTGCGCGTGTCAATCTTCGGACGTCCTGACGCCTGAGAAGATAAGGAAGTTGCTGTTTTGGGAAAGTTATTGCGCAAGGGTGCAGAATTGGCGAAAAGCACACATAGACAAGCCAAAAGCGGAAGCAAGAACGAAAATGTACACACCTGCCATGACATTGCGATTGAATTCGGTTCAGATGTGTTTGATCTGGCCATTCAATGAGGGAGAGTTTCGTGTGGGGGCTGGCTTGTAGTGTCCTTAGCTGGAGCCAATGCTGGAAAGCTGTTTGGACCTTGAAATGGATTGTTAATGCTATCGTTTGCTTACTGGATTCTGAGCCATGGCAGAAATGCCATGTCCTTTAGATAGTAAGCATTTCTCAGGCTATTACCTCTCTTGAGGATTATAGTCTTTTATGCTGGAGTACACCTTATTCCCTTTAGTGTTGGACTGGTGGCTAGTAGCTCACACATTGTAGATCACTGGTAGTCTGTTCATGTGTGGTTGTGCCATCGGCTTCATCCTTGAGCATTACTAGCTGAATTAATGTTCCAATGGTGGAAACATTGCTTATTTCACCAAATGTTTTGCCACGGATTCCGTTGTCAAGACCAACACCACGGTCTGAGTAGTGTTCTAAGATGATAGACTCATAAGGATCCATCTCAGCGATGTTCTTCTCCAAGAAGAAGTCCAGGTGGTTCATCACCCACTCTACCTTGGTGACTCCTTGTTTTCCTAGAGAGGCCCGGCCTGAGCCTCTCTGATCAAAGAAGAACACTTCATATCCGTGGCTCACTTGATGATCAAAGAGCCTGACGTACAGTTTGGCATACTCACAGAACCCATAGAACAAAACTGTACGTCCCTTAGACTGTTTCTCCTTCGGAGTGGGTTTTATCCCTCCGTGTGTTAGAACATGTGTATATACTGTCATAGAGTGGGAAAGAAATGCTTACCGAGAAAGCTAGACCATTATAGCCACCTTTCTCCTCGATATAATTAGTCCCCAGTGTGTATAGGGGTAAACTCCTTTATCCTTCAACTACTGTCTCAAATACTGTGGACATCACCTATTACCTTCCATCAATTACCTAAAACAAATATCAACTTGATAAAGAGATTAATCCAATACTCCTCCTCTTTTCCAGATTGCTCTTGGAGAGAAGTTAGGAAGGACATAAGTTACAGCTCTTATCTTAATGTGCGTCAATTGAAGCTGTGGAGATGCATAATCGATGGCGATTCGAAAGTTGATGGGAAGGCAAAGTCCACACAGTACGATACAGACAATAATTCATTGGTAGCTCATATACATATAAACAGTCATTGATTATTATCAATGGCGTAATCATGGCTTGTTTCCATAACTATTTTGGAGAACTAATGGTTGAATGCTCGTACTAACCAGAGTAACGGAGTATCTAATCATCGAGCTACTTTATCATGCATTAAACTGCAGTTTCTTTAGCTAATTGATAGTATGGACGCTGCATTAAGTACTAAATACAAAGGTATTGACGCTAAGTACAAAGAGCTCCGTAGCACAGTGTATGGTGTTGATTACAGGTGACTTTTCTAACAAATTTAAAGCTGTACTCTTTTTTCCATTATTAGTTCAAAATTGATCTATGGGTTATTCGCAGTACAAAGATAAGTATCAGTGACAAAAATACTTTCGTGTGGTATATCAGGTATTTTATCCAATTCCTCTTTTTCATTCCTTCTCTCTTTCTAACACTCAGTCCTTCAACGGTTCTCTCCAGTTATACATCCATGGTTTGGATGGTTGATGGGGTTTCACTATGGACGTTGAAGTTCCAGTTAGAAACATGGTCATCTGACTGGTGGGACTGGCTTCAGAGTTCTTAGCGGGATCCTGCTGGAGAATGATCACCTGGTAAAAGCCTGGTCAGCTTTAACCTGGTGTAGTTGGTCTCAAGCGTGGGTGAAGATACTTGGATGATCACAGTGAAGTTGTGGATGGTTCTATAACTGAGTACTGCTACGATGTTGAAGATAGCATGCGAGTGCTGTTATATTCTGGTCAAATTGACAGCACTGCTATTACACTATCGTTCAGGAAGGTACTACTGACACAGAAGCAGTTGCTGAATTTTGTCCTTGTTCGTGGATCAGGTCCTCTTACCAGATATTGAAACACTGAGTGTATGTGTTGGTACTGTTGATAGTTGAAAAGCTGAACTCTGGGTGATGCTGTGCTCTGGTCAAGCCAGCACCATCTCGGTAGGCTTCGCAAACTTTAACAAAGACTTAGTTTACTATGCTTCACCTGATGTTGATCCAGGACTGATTACCTGTCACTGTCCAGCCTTGTGCTGTTTACAGCGTCAGTCTTATATAGCTAGGGCCATCTGGAGGGATTACGTACAGATGCAGTTGTGCGGTATCCACCATGGCCTGGCCCATTGTAGTGTACCAATACCTTACTCCTCCATCCAGTTAGCTACCAGTGCTACCATACTCCTGATAGAACTCATGGAACCTTTCAACGGGCTCTATAGAGATCAGGAACTCATGGTAGCACTGGTGAAGCTGGTGGAGGTGAGAGCGAAGTACGGCCAGTTCAAGCCATGTTGGTACGGACACACACCCGTACATAAGCAGATAGATGGTCTCAGGAACTTGCTCTACTACAAGCAAGCATGCCTCAATGGTGGCTTTTGAGGTTCCTGGAGTGCTCTAGACTGTTTACTTAGGTCCATACTTTACCCAGTTCTGATCAGGCTTTTGTAACCACTACAATAAGATGAAAATTGTGGTTTCGTATGATCTGCAGCTGGATTAAACCATGCATTCTTCTAAGAATATGATCCAAAGGTCGCAGTATACGTGACTTTGTTTGTATTGTGGAGACTTGCTGGGGAAGTCATAGTCTTCTCTTTTGACATGTCGGAAAAGCTAGTTATAGACCACATGTTCTACTTCTATAAACTTAGAATTGCTAATCACATCTCAAGCTAGCCAGTAACGATCTCTCTGAAGCCTAGCGTTGCTCTACTGTTAAATATGATCGTAATAATGAAATGCTGTGTTATATTTAATCATAATCATGTTTAGAAT